CCAAATTTTAAATTCATTAAAAAACATGCGAAATTCGACATGGATATTTCTATTTGCATGTAAAATCCTTTTTAAAAGTTTCATGTCAAAAAGACTTGTCAGTAATGTCTAAATTATAATTTTTTAATTTTTGCCTCAAGCTCTAGAGGTACCATCACATTTTTGGTCAAATTTTTAAATTCGTCAAAAAATTTTCCAAATTTGACATGGATATGTATATTTGCATGTAAAATTCTTTGCTTAAGTTTCATGTCAAAAAGACTTGTCAGTAATGTCTAAATTTCAATTTTTTTAGTTTTGGCCTCGAGCTCTAGGGGTAACATCATCTTTTTTGGCCAAATTTTAAATTCATCAAAAAATTTTCCAAAATCGACATGGATATTTCTATTTGCATGTAATATCCTTTGTAAAAGTATCATGTCGAATAGACTTGTCAGTAATGTATAAATAATTTGCCAAATTTGACATGGATATTTATATATGCGTGTAAAATCCTTTGTAAAAGTTTCATGTCAAAAAGAGTTGTAAGTAATATCGAAATTATAATTTTTTTAGTTTTGGCCTCGAGCTCTAGGGGTACCATCACATTTTTTGGCCAAATTTTAAAATCATTAAAAAACATGCGAAATTCAACATGGATATTTCTATTTGCATGTAAAATCCTTTTTAAAAGTTTCATGTCAAAAATACTTGTCAGTAATTTCTAAATTATAATTTTTTAATTTTTGCCTCAAACTCTAGAAGTACCATCGCATTTTTGGTCAAATTTTTAAATTCATCAAAAAATTTGCCAAATTTGACATGGGTATTTATATTTGCATGTAAAATCCTTTGCATAAGTTTCATGTCTAAAAGAATTGTCAGTAATGTCTAAATTTCAATTTTTTAATTTTGGCCTCGAGCTCTAGGGGTAACATCACCTTTTTTGCCCAAATTTTAAATTCATCAAAATTTTCCAAATTCGACATGGATATTTCTATTTGCATGTAAAATTGTTGGGAAAAAAATGTCATAGATTTTGATGATGATGTATTTAGAATGTAATAGGGACTTTAGGTCTCCCCAGATATTCAATGTAATTTTAGAAATATTGTTAAAACCAAGTTTCTTGAAATTTCCAATTAAGTTGTGATATTTCCTTAAATGGTTTGATGTCTGAAAACTTAATCAAACTCAAAAATTTTGGAAATTGGATATCTTGATCGGAAATATCAGAGACAAGTAAGGATTTCTCAAAGAAGACAAAAATCCTCCTATCTGAATATTACATGAGAACCGGATGTCTCATTACAACCCGCTGAAGGCTAAGTCAGAAGACTAGCACGGATTTCCTTCTCACCAGGAAGACTGAGTATGACTCTTCCGGATTTGTCAGCTAAGAACCGGATGCCTCAGGGAAGACCGGAATTCTCAAAAAGCGGACAAGTGAGAAAAGACTTAGAAAATTATCTAAGTCTTGAATGAAGAAATTCTACTCGTTGGTAAGGAAAAATCAATCTCTTGATTTTCAACGGCTAGATTGAAGATAATTATGCTGATTCAAGAACAAATGACTCGAAGACAAAGTCTGGACCTCTAAGAATTGAAGAACCTGTCCAGAATTCCTATACAAGCACTAGAAGACAAACAGAGTAAAGTTCTACAGTCCAGAATACTTGAACAACAGCTAGAAGACGGACTCGATGGAAAAAGGAATCTCTCCTTTAACAATTGGGTATGTCCAAACACCCATTCCAATGAGGAATCTTCAAATCCCAATCTTCATTCAAAATTGAAGCCAGCAAATGCAACGGATAGTCTATTTTGATTCAACGGATAGATTATCCAATCCAGCTATAAATAGCATCCTTGGAAGACTGGGGAAATATATACAATAACTCATCAACAATAAGAAGAACAACCACAAAGAGGCTACCTCATTCACAGTTAGCCCAAAAAGCTTGATAAAGAGAGATTTCTAAACTCCTTATCGAGAAGCAAACTTCTCCTCCTTCCAAAAAGCTATAGTGTAAATACTTGAAGGTTTCCTT